GTTATGGAGAAAATTAAAGGCAAAATCACTTCAAAAAAACAGTGCATTCTACACCCATAAAAATCTTTCCTTTGTATGTTTGCTCGTTCTTTCAATTGATTCCTGTTCAGTGATCCTGACTATTACTGTGTTAATTATCAAATATATTTACTGTATAGTTTGGGAGAAAATTAATGGCAAATTCATCCCAAGTATCTGTGCACCTTTGCACTTTTACATCACGCCCCATTTTCAAACACTCATAAAATTCTTTACTTTATAGGTTTGCTCATTCTTTCATTGATTCCTGTTCACAGTGACTCTGACTATTACTGTATTAATTTTCATGTCATTTTACTTTACAGTTTCTGGGAAACGCAAACTCACTCCATAAATGTTTTTATAGAGTGTATTGTTGCACTCATGTCCCATTTTCTAATATAAAGTTTCCGTTTTTGAATTAATTATTGTGCAAACGTACCATGCTTATTACCATATGAAACTGACTCGTTTTAGATTATAGTTTTGGACAAAATTGCTGGGAAATACTCTCCCCACGTCATACACTCAACCTCTTCTTACATTTTAATTGTTAGTGTCACATTTAATTAAGTTAAAATCTTAGTTTTAACCTTAGGAATTGATTATGTTCATCACCCCTTTGAGCAGTCCTAATTTGTGTCCATGGTTACTAATTTCTAACCTTTAGTTAAATTTCTTATGTCTTTGCTTTTATAGCCCTGAGGTTGTTGTATTTGTTTATGGTGATTATGCCTGCAAAGCTATTATTTGTTTTGCTGTGTTTGTTTACCATAATCATCAGTATATTGAATAAGTCTACTTAGCTGCAATTTCTTGTTTCTCCTTACCTGTAACTGATCAATTACAATTGTATTGAGATGAATTTTAAAATGATCTATCTAAATTAAAATCCAGATACAACAAGACACTGATCACACAGGTAAGGTGACAGTTGACAACACAAAGAAAAAATAAGTAATATAGTATCAGTGCCATTGTTTGAAAATGATCACACATTTATTTGAATTTTACTTAACTTTATTTTATCATATTGTATGTACTTTTATAAATATTATACATTTTATATAAATGCATGCAATTTATATACATTATACATTTATTTACAGTATTTATTTTGCCTTTCTTATTTCAGAAAATAATGTTGTGCATCTTAAGGAATAACAGCACTTTGGGCATGCTGTTGTACATCCCATCAGACTGCACAACAGTGCCTACTGTGGCGTCAACACCTGTAAACATTTATTGACTGTCTTCTGCACACTGATGCATACACCTAAAATCATCTTTTCATATTAGGTTTTTGTTTAATTGGATAAAATAATTACATATTTGCATTTGTATCTGTGAAATGTCATAACACCGGTTACATAATCCCTATCACAACTTATTTCTGTATTTTAGTCTTAATAAAACTCTTGTTTAAATTCCATTAGGTTGTATTGCAGTCAATCAATTAATAGCCTACTGTTATTTTAAGGTGTCATTGAGTCTTGAAAGGTGCCTAATAAAATGCATTATTATTATCATTAAATTATTATAGGAGTAAGCTGCAGCAGAGGCTGTGGCAGAATGACACCAAGGAGTTCTGCAGAAGCATGAGGGCTATAATTGGTTACAAGTTTTCTGTACAAAAAAACCCCAACAACAAACGAATACAAATAAAGGAAAGGAAACCTCAACAATTTTTTCCCATCAATACATGAACATGACTGTTTTCTACAATTCAATAATAATAGCAAATAATGTTTGTTATATAATACTTACTATGTGTTTTTCAACTCAAAAGATAAGGTATATGTTCCAAATTAGGGCATTTCACAGGATGCAAGAGCTAAATTAGTTTAGCCAGGTCGTATTTTAAATGTCATTAAATAGAACTTTCCAGACTTCTTTTTGTGCTCTTAATTACTTAATTATTATTTGAAAATTAATACAGTAATAGTCAGGGACACTGTGAACAGGAATCAATTGAAAGAATGAGCAAACCTATAAAGGAAAGATTTTTATGAGTGTTTGAATATAGGACATAATGTAAAAGTGCTTATGCACTTAGATGCTTGGGGTGAATTTGCCTTTACTTTTCTCCAAGACTATACAGTAAAAATATTTGAAAATTAATACATAAATAGGCAGGGTGACTGTGAACCAGAATCAATTGAAAGAACGAGGAAACCTCTAAAGGAAATATTTTTATGAGGGTTTGAAAATGGGACGTGATGCAAACTGCTTATGCATTTAGATGCTTGGGGTGAATTTTTCCTTTAATTTTCTCCAAAACTATACAGTAAACATATTTGAAAATGAATACAGTAATAGTCAGGGTGACTGTGTAAGTGAACAGGAATCAATTGAAAGAACAAGCAAACCTATAAAAGGAAAGATTTTTAAGAGTGTTTGAAAATGGGTAATGGTGCATCTACTAGAATGCACTTTTGTTTTTTGGAGTGAATTTGCCACTAATTTTCTCCAAAACCACACCGTAAAAATATTTGAAAATTAATACAGTATTAGTCAGGGTCATTGTGAACAGGAATCAATTGAAAGAACGAGCAAATCTATGAAGGAAATATTTTTTATAAGTGTTTGAATATGGGACATGATGTAAAAGTGCAAGGATGCACTCAGATGCTTGGGGTGAATGTGTCTTTAATTTTCTCCAAAACTATACAGTAAAAAGACTTGAAAATTAATACAGTAAGTCAGGGTCACTGTGAATAGGAATCAATTGAACTAATGATCAAACCTATAAAGTTAAGATTTTTATGAGGGTTTGAAAATGGGACATGATGTAAAAGTGCTTATGCATTTAGAAGCTTGGGGTGAATTTGGCTTTAAATTTTCTCCAAGACCATACAGTACAACATTTGAAAACTAATACAGTAATAGTCAGGGTCACTGTGAACAGGAATCAATTGAAAGAATGAGCAAACCTATAAAGGAAATATTTTTATGAGTGTTTGAAAATGGGACATGATGTAAAGGTGATAATGCACTCATGCTTGGGGTGAATTTTCCCTTAATTTTCTCCAAAACTATACAATAAAATGACTTGAATATTTATACAGTAATAGTCAGGGTGACTGTGAACTTGAATCAATTGGAAGAATGAGCAAACCTAAGGAAAGCATTTTATGAGCAAGTGTTGTTTTATGAAAATGTGTGAGAATGCACATTGAGTTTTGGAGTGATTGCCACACAAACACACACACATATACATATATATATATATATCAACATTGAAAAATGTATATTAATAAATGTACAATACAAATGTTAATGTACAAAAAAATAATGTATTCACAAACATTAATTCAATGTTCAAGTCATTAAAAAAAATCCTGAAATTGTATTATTTATGTCAAGATATAAAATAGCAATAAATAAATATTCTGATGTTGCTTTATGGTCTTTGTAGGGGTAAATTGCGTTTTATGCAGACATATTTGGGTCACCGTGAACAGCAATCTATTGAAAATATCAGCAAAAGTATAAAGGAAACGCCGCTATGACAGCTTCTTTAAATCCATTTTGACCGCTCCCAGCACCCATACAGTAAGTGCGCGATTAGACGCGCATCCAAAAAAAAGTGCGGCTGGCTTGACCGTGTATATTCAAGAAGCGGCTGGTTTGACCGCAGTGAAAAAACACATACAAAAATTTCGGACTCAGTGGGCAGAGACCTTTACTTTAAAAAACAAAAACTTATATTTAACGAATGAAAAAATGCTCCAAACGTTTTTCTAAATTAACTTAATAATAATTAAAAAAAAAACTAAATAATAATTTTGGCAATTACATACAAAACTGAACTATTTTAATAGCTGAAAAAGTAGTATAAGCTGTTTTGGGAGAAGGGGGGAAAAAAAAGACGGGCTTGGGTCGGGCTCAGGCCGGTAATTCTGATAAGCTGTCGGACAAGGGCCGGGGCCTGAGCGTCTCGGGCCAGGGCTTAGCCTTATACTTAGGCTAGGGCCTAAACATGAGGTCCGTGCAGGGCTCTACTGCCTTTGTCTTGTCCTCACTCAATTTAAAGACTGCGCAGTCTTAGTCACTTTTGCCTTCTCTTCCAGATTAACTGAATCACGCCGTTCATGACGTTCACTCATGGGCGATTCATATTCAAGCGCGAATGAGAACCGTTTTGCGGGGGATGCCAGGTGTTCGGGGAAAAAATAGAAAAGAATATTCGAATGTCAAAATTGAAAATCAAATGCCAACCCACCGAACGAATATTCGAATAATCTGATCCAGCCCTATAAAAGTTCAAGTGTTTTTTTGAACCAGGTGTTTGACATTTATAGTACCATTCAAAAGTTTAGAGTCGGCAAGATTTTTGAAAGCCTCACCCAAGGTGGCATTTATTTGATAAAAAATTTATTAAAAGTAATAATATTATGAAATATTACAATTAAAAATGACTGTTTTCGATTTTAATATAATTTAAAATGTAATATATTCCTGTGATGGCAAAGCTAAATTTAAATTCTTCTGCAATCATTTTAATATGATGATAGGTCAAGAATCACTTCAACAGTTTTAAAAAAACAGTTGTGCTGCTTACTACTTTTGTGGAAACTACAATTTTTTTTATTCTTTGATGAATAAGGTACAAAAGAACAGCATATATTTAAAATGTCTTTAATGTCACTTTTGATCAACTGAATGTGTCTTCATTGAATACAAGTATTTTTTAATAATGAAATTAAATTAAATAAAAAATAATATTAGAAAATAAATAATAATAATAACAACAACATCTTACAGACACCGAACTTTTGAACAGTAGTGTATATACAAAACCAGTGATAGACAGGATAGATAGATAAACAAACATTTGTTTGATTGGACTTTTGAGTATTTAAGCTGTGACAACTAGCCCCAGTCTCCATATCTACATGTCTCCATGTAATGATTGCATAGATGGCATTATATTATTATTATTAAATGGCTGAAATTATGCTGTAAGTTTCAATACTTACATGTCTTCCAGTAAGTGTGACATCTTCTCTATAGTAGTTGTGTCCTGTTGTTGAAAAAAAAAGATATTGCTTTGTAATCACCCCTGAACTATGAACATGTAATTTCATATAAATTTAAGAGACAATACAGTGACAACTCATGAAATGATTTATGACAGCAAGCCAGTGGATTCAAGGGAGTGAGTTGGATCTTTCTCACGCTGTGAGTGAAAACTGCTATACAGTTTACATTGAGACAAAAGAGAGACAGTGAAGCCGACAGCAGCAACACTCCCTTGGTGCCCTCCTCACCTTGCCAAGTTGGCACAGGGGCAAAAGTACATCTGGATGCTAAAGTTCCCCCTGCTTGCCAGGTGAAGAGACGCAGCAAAGAAACAAAAAAAAAAGAATATATAAATAAGGTGGGATTAACAGAGGCGAGACTGTTTGTGTGAAAAATGGTGGACGTATGACTGACAGTGGCTTTCTAGAACAATATGTGCTTTGTGTGTGATACACAAGATGAATACATAAAAGAAGACTCTATTCCTGAAGCCATAATACATTATGTATGGAGTCAGACTTGAACTGTTGAAGTCAATGACTGAAGTCAGATTCACACTGTGAACCACTAGAGGACACACTCTTGGCCTGGAGCAGCCAGTGTCATGCCAATTCGACCTGGCTGCAGTTCAGGCTGAGCTGATCTGGGCTCAGAGAGCATGCGTGAGAAAAGATCTTGGCAGGGATCAATGGTAAAGTCTGCTTCCTTGCTTGCTATGACTGGCATGAGGCTACGCACTAACCACCCAGTCAGACGCTAAATCTTCTAAGACATCACAACACGGGATAGCATGGTCAAGGTGTAGCTTGTGTGTTAAAGCATTGTGACTTTCGTGGCCTTTGGATAAGGAGATGGCTTAAAGACAGGACAGGACAGCAGATTAGACAGCTTAACATGTAGTAATAAAGTACTTAAGAATAACTGGCAAACTTTTAGTTTGTAGTTAATTCAGTTTATAAATTGTAATCTCTACATTGTTAATACATTAACAGGCCAGTTGAAATAGGATAGTTCCTAATTCATTGTCACTTTAATTTACAAATTGTTATTTTTTAATTAGCTTATATGTAAAGAGGAAATAATGTTTTTATCCTTTGCTTTTTACTGAATGTATGGTAATGCTAACTGATGCATTTATATATATTCTCATGAGACTTTGTATGCATTTTTTGTAACATACATTTACTTACATTTGCAGAGACACATACAGTGGGGCAAAAAAGTATTTAGTCAGCCACCAATTGTGCAAGTTCTCCCACTTAAAAAGATGAGAGAGTCCTGTAATTTTCATCATAGGTATACCTCAACTATGAGAGACAACATGAGATAAAAAAAAAATCCAGAAAATCATATTGTAGGATTTTTAAAGAATTAATTGGTAAATTCCTCGGTAAAATAAGTATTTGGTCACCTACAAGCAAGATTTCTGGCTCTCACAGACCTGTAACTTCTTCTTTAAGAGGCTCCTCTGTCCTCCACTCGTTACCTGTAGTAATGGCATCTGTTTGAACTCGTTATCAGTATAAAAGACACCTGTCCACAACCTCAAACAGTCACACTCCAAACTCCACCATGGCCAAGACCAAAGAGCTGTCAAAGGACACCAGAAACAAAATTGTAGACCTGCACCAGGCTGGGAAGACTGAATCTGCAATAGGTAAGCAGCTTGGTGTGAAAAAATCAACTGTGGGAGCAATTATTAAAAAATGGAACTAAGAACACCATACCTACTGTGAAGCATGGGGGTGGAAATATCATGCTTTGGGGCTGTTTTTCTGCAAAGGGACCAGGACGACTGATCCGTGTAAACGAAAGAATGAATGGGGCCGTGTATCGTGAGATTTCGAGTGAAAACCTCCTTCCATCAGCAAGGGCATTGAAGATGAAACGTGGCTGGGTCTTTCAGCATGACAATGATCCCAAACACGGGCAACGAAGGAGTGGCTTCGTAAGAAGCATTTCAAGGTCCTGGAGTGGCCTAGCCAGTCTCCAGATCTCAACCCCATAGAAAATCTTTGGAGGGAGTTGAAAATCCGTGTTGCCCAGCGACAGCCCCAAAACATTACTGCTCTAGAGGAGATCTGCATGGAGGAATGGGCCAAAATACCAGCAACAGTGTGTGAAAACATTGTGAAGACTTACAGAAAACGTTTGACCTCTGTCATTGCCAACAAAGGGTATATAACAAAGTATTGAGATGAAATTTTGTTATTGACCAAATACTTATTTTCCACCATAATTTGCAAATAAATTCTTTAAAAATCCTACAATGTGATTTTCTGGATTTTTTTTTCTCATTTTGTCTCTCATAGTTGAGGTATACCTATGATGAAAATTACAGGCCTCTCTCATCTTTTTAAGTGGGAGAACTTGCACAATTGGTGGCTGACTAAATACTTTTTTTCCCCACTGTATTTACATAATTGTCAATGCACATTTTCATTTTTAACATGTACTGAAAAGTTTAAGGCATATGGTCATTCATAAAAACAAAGTTATTACTTGTAAAGAAACATTTATGTGTAAAGTGACTTGATAAACATATGCTTAATTAATGTGTTTCTAACCATTTTAGAAACACTTATCGTTAATGCCATTAATGTCTAATAAAGGTAGGTTATTGCCTTTAATTTAGTATTTTCTGTGACCTAATGTAAGTGACAACTATTTACTCCTGGTAACCATTAACAACTCCTTTACTACTGCATGAATTGTACATCAGTTAGTTATGGTTAACGAGTTGTTAACAAAACATTTAAGTCTTTACATACGAGCTAATTAAGCAATAATAATTGGTTAACTACTGTGACAATGAATGAAGAACTCACTAGTTGTACATAAAATTAACGTATTAACAATGAATAGACAATAGTTTATAAACTATGAATTAACTATAAACTAATAGTTTGCAAATGACTGTGCTTTGTATACTTATTATGAAGTGTTAATAAGTCGGTTACATCAAAACATCATTTATCAAAGCGCATACATAAAGCCCATCAAAACTGAAACACAGAAACTCAACCATTCTTGCTTGATGGGTGAGCGCAAACCTAATTGGTTCTTGCGTGTCAAGCAATCATGTTTGAACTTTCGTTTACCATTTTCGATGGGCTTTATTTATGACCTCTGATCAATGTTTATGTAAATAAAAACAAACTAAAATTAAATTAAACCTGTAATGTAAATAAATATAAAGCAATCACATATTTTCAGAACACCTGGATTAAATTGCCAGAATCATATGGATTATGTTTACTATGTTTTTATAAACTTTTTGAAGTGTCAAAGTTTTGGTTGTTTGAACTTTCAATGGAGGGACAGAAATCTCTCAGATCCCATTAAAATATCCTCACATTGTGTTCTAAGGTGAATGTAAATCTTATAGGTTTTCATTTGTGTGTGAACCAACCCTTTAAAGGCAATGCATGTAGCTCCACAAAAAGGCGAATTTACTACGTATTACTTGGCAAACTAAATAAACTGTATTATAGGTAGATTATTCTCTGAATGTTGTACTATGTGTGATGGAACAACCACCTCCTTTAAAAATGGTGGACATGAAGTCATGAAAGCCAGAACAACGCTCAATTTTATGCAAATGTGAGTAGGTAGGGATGGGTACCGAGAACCGGTATTTTTTTGGACCGGTACGTAATTGGGTCAGTCCCGGAGTACCGATAAGCTTCAGGACAAATGATACTGTCATCGATACTTGCGTTGTTTTATCTCCATATAACTTCAATGTTAAATGGTTAGTTCACCCCAAAATGAAAATTCTGTCATTAATTACTTTACACAATTAATTTACACAATTTTGTGATGCTACGAGAATACTTTTTGTGCACAAAGAAAACAAAAATAATTACTTTATTCAACAATTCTTCTCCCCAGAGTTACCGTCTTCCTTCATTTTAGAGTGTCACAACGCATATGCACGTTTTCCCCTAAGCGTAAACAACGCTGATTACGCAGATTACGTTCATGTGCGCACTTTCCCCCCAAACGTAAACAACGCTGATTACGTCGATTACGCACTTCGGGAACTCTCCAAAATGGCGGAAGACGTAACTCGGGGGGAGAAGAATTAAGAAACATTTATGTGTAAAGTGACTTGATAAACATATGCTTAATTAATGTGTTTCTAACCATTTTAGAAACACTTATCGTTAATGCCATTAATGTCTAATAAAGGTAGGTTATTGCCTTTAATTTAGTATTTTCTGTGACCTAATGTAAGTGACAACTATTTACTCCTGGTAACCATTAACAACTCCTTTACTACTGCATGAATTGTACATCAGTTAGTTATGGTTAACGAGTTGTTAACAAAACATTTAAGTCTTTACATACGAGCTAATTAAGCAATAATAATTGGTTAACTACTGTGACAATGAATGAAGAACTCACTAGTTGTACATAAAATTAACGTATTAACAATGAATAGACAATAGTTTATAAACTATGAATTAACTATAAACTAATAGTTTGCAAATGACTGTGCTTTGTATACTTATTATGAAGTGTTAATAAGTCGGTTACATCAAAACATCATTTATCAAAGCGCATACATAAAGCCCATCAAAACTGAAACACAGAAACTCAACCATTCTTGCTTGATGGGTGAGCGCAAACCTAATTGGTTCTTGCGTGTCAAGCAATCATGTTTGAACTTTCGTTTACCATTTTCGATGGGCTTTATTTATGACCTCTGATCAATGTTTATGTAAATAAAAACAAACTAAAATTAAATTAAACCTGTAATGTAAATAAATATAAAGCAATCACATATTTTCAGAACACCTGGATTAAATTGCCAGAATCATATGGATTATGTTTACTATGTTTTTATAAACTTTTTGAAGTGTCAAAGTTTTGGTTGTTTGAACTTTCAATGGAGGGACAGAAATCTCTCAGATCCCATTAAAATATCCTCACATTGTGTTCTAAGGTGAATGTAAATCTTATAGGTTTTCATTTGTGTGTGAACCAACCCTTTAAAGGCAATGCATGTAGCTCCACAAAAAGGCGAATTTACTACGTATTACTTGGCAAACTAAATAAACTGTATTATAGGTAGATTATTCTCTGAATGTTGTACTATGTGTGATGGAACAACCACCTCCTTTAAAAATGGTGGACATGAAGTCATGAAAGCCAGAACAACGCTCAATTTTATGCAAATGTGAGTAGGTAGGGATGGGTACCGAGAACCGGTATTTTTTTGGACCGGTACGTAATTGGGTCAGTCCCGGAGTACCGATAAGCTTCAGGACAAATGATACTGTCATCGATACTTGCGTTGTTTTATCTCCATATAACTTCAATGTTAAATGGTTAGTTCACCCCAAAATGAAAATTCTGTCATTAATTACTTTACACAATTAATTTACACAATTTTGTGATGCTACGAGAATACTTTTTGTGCACAAAGAAAACAAAAATAATTACTTTATTCAACAATTCTTCTCCCCAGAGTTACCGTCTTCCTTCATTTTAGAGTGTCACAACGCATATGCACGTTTTCCCCTAAGCGTAAACAACGCTGATTACGCAGATTACGTTCATGTGCGCACTTTCCCCCCAAACGTAAACAACGCTGATTACGTCGATTACGCACTTCGGGAACTCTCCAAAATGGCGGAAGACGTAACTCGGGGGGAGAAGAATTGTTGAATAAATTATGTTGTTTTTGTTTTCTTTCCGCACAAAAAGTATTCTCGTAGATTCGCAAAATTGAAGTTGCACCACTGATGTCACATGGACTGTTTTACCGATGTCCTTACTATGTTTCTGGACCTGGGAACATTACAGTTGTGTTGCTGTCTATGGAGGGTCAGAGAGCGCTCCGATTTCATCAAAAATATCTTAATTTGTGTTCCGAAGATGAACGAAGGTCTTACGAGTTTGGAACGACATGAGGGTGAGTAATTAATGACAGAATTTTCATTTTTGGGTGAACTATCCCTTTAACAACGAATTAGAAGCTGATGCTTGTCATTTTCCTTCACTTGAATGATGTGGCCGACGTTTGCTCGACGTGCGCGTGATATCCATGCACATGTGTGCGATCAGTCATCGCGGCAAGAGTGAAAGGTTTGAAAGTGTGGGCTTACGTTACAAAACTAGGCTACAAGAGTATCAGATGCAATATAAGCAGTAGTGTAATAGTGAACGAAGGAGGCAACAATATATATTGAAACATTTACTAACAAAATCAACATCTACCTCAAGCAATGCGCTGTATTGTGTCATGCGGCTCCAGCTCCAACTGAAACTCGAGAGACACATTCACATCAAATGTTGATTCGTTAGAGTAACACTCAAGAGACTTATTCGTAGGGTTGGGCGATTTTCCAGAATAATTCGAATTTATTGTTTTGCCACGAATTTATTTTTTAGAAATCGAGGAATCGCGATTTTGAATAGAAATATTACCAAATGTTACAATTAGACACTTTGACAATATGCCGGTGATGATAACAGTAAACGAATGAAACAAATGATCCAACCGCATGTCGGCGCACGTGATTAAATCCTCATGTGTGACAATCCTACAATGTGATTTTCTGGATTTTTTTTCTCATTTTGTCTCTCATAGTTGAGGTATACCTATGATGAAAATTACAGGCCTCTCTCATCTTTTTAAGTGGGAGAACTTGCACAATTGGTGGCTGACTAAATACTTTTTTGCCCCACTGTATCAGTGGTGTTCCTGCTCCCAGAGTGCCACCTTCCTGCAGAGATTCACTCCAACCTGCTGCAGAAACCAAACTGCTAGTAATTCTGAAGACCTTGATTACCTGGCATAGATGTGTTTAATCAGGATTGGAGATAGACTCTGCAGGAAAGTGGATCTCCAAGAGCAGAACTGGACAGCCGCGTTATAAATGGTTAAAAAGTTATAAGAAAGAAAAGCCAATTGCAATTCAGTGTGTGGGTAAATACCAAAATGATGTAATCTCTGCTGGTGAGCTTTTGAATAATAAAGATTTTATCAATGCATCAAATCTTTTTTTTTTTTTTTTTTACAAAAGATAGAAAACCTAAGACTAAAATTATCTACAAAAAGCATTAAAGAAGTCTTTAAGTTAAGTAATTTGACTAGAGTAGAAAATCCACACAAGAAGATGAATCTCACCATAACAAGTACAAGTAATTTCTATGACCAAGTCAGTTAAACCTACTAAGATGACAAACTCATTTGCTCGGTTAAAGAAAAAGCAAAACTTACTGCGAGGATGCCTTTGACTTGCGTGTAGAACAGGCTGCTTATTCCACCAAACATGATCAGCCCCATGAAACAGGACCCACGTAGAAGAGCCAACTCATGATGTACTACAAAGTCAGCCTAAAAAAGACAAACATGTTGCATATGTACTATAAATGCTCATGAACAAATGAGACTATTTCCAAGTCATATTGTTATGCTACACATGCACAAAGAGGATTTTCGCACTGCAGGTGTTTAAAGGAAGTGATGTGACATATTTTGCTTGTTTCCTTTTACTGAAGGTTTTTCTGTGTCTATTACACAAAACACATAGAAACACACACAAATCCACAAAATCCACAATATTTTGCTTCTTGTGGGAAAGCTTTTCCAGGAGATAACGTCACTATCTCTCCCATACAGCCATTTCTGTGCCCATACAACATCCCTCGCTTCTCAGCTGCGTCTGTTTACTCACACACAATGCTCCACAGAATAAACAAAAACAGGAAATTGAGCGTTATGGGCTTTTATTTGCAGGCGGTCTGCCATTGCCATGGTGGCTCAGCTGTTCAGCTGCATTCAAGTTGGAATGATGCTCCTTTGAATTTAAATGCTCTGACAGAAAATACACCACTATATTCCTAATTCTTGAGACATGCGACAAAACAAGTCCACAACTTCACCTGCCATTACTTTTTTAAATAGCCACTCTAAAATTTCCATTATGAAAATTATCAGCGATGATCACTAAATGTTCCTAACAAAAACAACCCTCTACATTGCGAGTAAATCACTCGCATATGCGACTAAATCTTCACTCTGGGCGACTAAATGATGTCTAATATTGGCCAATTGCTCATAAATTCTCAGACTTTACTCGCCAGTGTGTGAGTTGGAGGCTAAGTATAATTTTAGCTCAGATATATTTTCACTCGCCGAACACTCTCTGACTGAGCGCATCAGTTTCACTCTCCATCAAGCGATCTGTACTGTTTTTCAGTTAACCTGAATGGATGTGCAACGATACCTGTATTTAACGTACCGTAAACTCTAGTGTGAAGGCGCACGCCTTGCCGTCGCTTTGTTTCACACACACGCAGCGAGAAAGAGAGAATTGACGCGCTACCTATGCGCGCTACATGTAAACGATATTCTTTGTTGTATTTTCCTGTCAAAATAACTGCGTTCCTTTGGAATTCTTCCGCTTTTAAGAACTACCGCTTTCTCCGGTAGTGGGCGGAACTAATGCGCAAACGGCAATATCATTGGCTGGCGCTCACCTATTATCGTCCCTGTTTTGATTTCAGCAAATCAGTTCGAGCGAACGCACACAACCCGATTAATATTCATGAATCCAGTAGCTCATTAATCCTTGGTGCGTTTTATATTGTTCTTATTAGTAGAATTCGTATCATTATTATCTAATCAGTATTTTTGTTAGTTTTTCCCCAATATTTTATTTTGTTTACAGAAACACTGAATGACCAAAAAAGCACCACCACCAGTCCGAAGTTCAGTTAAAATGACTAATATGCATTCATACATGGTTATCAAGTTTTAATTCTAATAACTAAAGTTCTATCATTAAATAATATTGATTATCATATTATAATGCTTGACTGACTGAGTGTACTTTCAGATATTTATAAAACTGTGCCATTTTACAAACAAACATACATATACATATATATGTGTATATATCTATATATATATATATATATGTGTGTGTGTGTGTGTGTGTGTCTATATATGTATGTGTATGTATATGTATATGTGAGATGGCGCCCGACAGTGATGGCTGCCTCCGTGGCGTGCTCCGCAGTTGTTTTTATGTTTTTGTTAGTTTGTCCTGTCTTTAGTTATATCCCTGCAATCAGTTTCACCAGAGACGAATTGCTGGACATTCGGCAGTACATACCACCCGATATTTCACCGGTTTTCGATTATTCTGATGTTTTGCTGGACATTGTAGTCGGGGGAGCAGCGGCGCTGTTCAGATGCTTCAGGACGCGCAGACGGGGAAAGCAGGTCGGCGCGCTCGTGAAGCTCAGGCAGCGCGGATTCAGGACGCCGTTGCCTAGCATCTATCTGGTGAACCTCCGCTCTCTACCCAACAAAACGGACAAACTCTTTCTGCTCTCTCGGACAAATAAGGATTTTTCAAACTCTGCTGCTCTGTGTTTCACGGAAACCTGGCTGTAAGACGCCATTCCGGACAGCGCGTTGAGTCTCCCGGGCTTTCAGCTGTTCAGAGCGGATCGCGATGCAGAATCAACGGGGAAATCACGCAGCGGCGGGACATGCTTTTACATCAATGAGAGGTGGTGTACAGATGTAACCGTGTTAAAGAAGATGTGCTGTTCAGATCTAGAAGGGCTCTTCATTAACTTTAAGCCTTTCTACTCGCCGCGGGAGTTTTGCTCCTTCATTCTTGTCAGTATTTACATTCCTCCGCAAGCGCACGTGAGCTCCGCTTTACAGAAACTCGCTGATCAGATCACAGAGACAGAACAACAACACCCGGACTCTGTTTTAATCAATTCTCTGGGACTTTAATAAAGCCAATCTCTCCTGTGAACTGCGAAAATACAGACAGCACATCACATGTCCCACCAGAGACAGTAATATATTGGATCACTGTTATACCACAATAAAGAATGCATATCACTCTGTTCCACAGGCAGCTTTGGGGCTCTCTGATCACTGTTTGGTT